TTCACATCAGCTATATGTTCTTTAACGAGGGTTTTAATTGATCTTTTAGTTTGTCCTATGTAGGAGAGACCACATTCACAATCAAGCTTGTACACTCCTGCATCTTGCAGAGGGACGTTACACTTGACTGATGGTAAAAACTGACCAATCTTCTTCGGCGGCTTGAAGTATGTTTTGATGGAAGCGCGCTTCAAGATGTAGCCAATCTTGTCAGTGACTCCTCTAACATATGGCAGTACAGCAGGTACACGCTCGACTGTGGCCGGCTTCACACGTTCTCTGTGACGTACGCGCGGGACCCGAAGCTTGTTGTCATGCAAAACTTGCTTGACGTGTTGGAGCTCGGCAGCCAGGTGTTTACTGTCACAGATCACTCGTGCTCTCTGAAACAAAGATTTACCCACGGTAGCTAACTGTGAAGGATGGTGGTGAGAAGCACCGTTTAAATATCTATTTGTATGGGTCTTTTTTCTATACACAGTATGGCTCAAGGTGTTATCAGGTTTCCGAATTACTAACACATCTAGAAAAGCTAAGGAATTGTTTGCCTCTAACTACATTGTGAACTGAATTTTAGAATTTATAGAGTTAAGATGGTCTAAAAATGCAGTTACTTTATCTAAAGGTAGAATTGTGAAAGTGTCGTCTACGTACCGCTTGTAGAATATTGGATTTATGGGAGAACTAGGCAGTGCTTTCTCCTCAAAGTCTTCCATGAATATGTCGGCGACAATAAGGATAAGGAGATACAGGTGAGCCCATCGCCACACCATCTACTTGCTTGTAGAACTCCTCCTTCCACAATAGGTGGCCAGATGTAAGGCAGTGTCTGAGTAATATTGCATATTCTACGAGCATTTTGTTTATGTAACTATGACATCTGGACGTTAAACATCTCAGTCCTTTCCGTGACCATGGGTGCTGTAAAGCTCTCGAAACGTCGGGTATTTAAAAAGTTAAATATACGCGATAAATTCCGTAAAAACTAGTATTATTTCAATAGCTATTAGTCACTTAATTCTTTATTTTTTTGGTAGAATAGCCTAGTATATAGATGTTAGTGCTGTTAGTCTATGCGACTCTTACAGCTTCATCTGACTCATTAGGTAGTAAACAGTCCATTACTTAATATCATAGCTCTCTTCCAAAGGAAGATTTACCGTAATTACTACACCTTGCTTGCGAATGGGTATCTACCCAAGTTACCAACTTTTTTAACCTTACCTTTTTTACGTGGTAGAGCCATGCTGCAGCTATTGTGGTTGCAGCACGAATGGGTCGGGTCTACCTGGGTAGGAACACGACCTTACAGAACACCAGCGTAAAATATCAGCTTAATATTTTTGTGTTTCGTATGTTGAGTATAGAGAACCGGAGACCCTTTTTACTGGAAACGAGGCATTCGATCTCAGTCCTCAGGGGTGACAACGCATCTGCATTTTGATTCTTAATGGAAGATAAATATAGATATCTATGGACCACAGCATCCACTTACCATCAGGCGTACTATGTGTTCGTTTGTCACCCTTATTCTATAAAAAAAGAAAGATAATGTTTTCTGATTTGTGTTTGTTCAACAGCAAAAAGACAAGAAGTATAATGAATAACATTTTTTTTCTACTGTTTCTAATTTTTAGAGATGCCGCGAATGCTCTCTATTATTCTGTATTCTGCAATATTCGACATTGTTTTGTTATTCGTCGAACTGGGGACCTTCAAGAAAAGAGCTTACTCCTTTGTAAAGGGCCGGCAACGCACCTGCAATTCTCCTGGTGTTGCGGTTGATCATGGGCGGCGGTAATCACTTAACATCAGGTGAGCCGCATGCTCGTTTGCCCCCTCTTCTATAAAAAAAATACCGAAAAATAGCTAATGTTATTCGACATTCAATGAATAGTTGTCCAAAATAAACTTTTAATGAAGATAAAAACCTATAGAGCAAAAACTAATCAAACTTTAAACCTAACCTAAGAAAAATATTTTTAGGTAAAATGTTGAGTTCCAGCGAGTTTAAAGCGGGCTACATACGACACGATATCGGTGGCGATCTAGGGAGGAAAGAAATCGGGGCTTTTATCGGGGTAGACCTTACACCCGGGCCTGCCTAGCAGTACGCGTTCGGACTTGAAGCAGAACGCATATGCGGTAGAGTTCTTCAAAATACCTCCGACTCTCTTAAAACACCACCGTGTTGGTTTGGCATTAGCCATCACGGTTAATTTATTCGAAAATAGAAAAAGAGAAGTTGCTGGGTGAAAAAATGGCTCCAAAAGAGATAAAAATTAAGCCACATAAACGTACTAAATGGCCTGTAATCCAAGGACGTGATTAATTTTCTCCGGATGAATGAAGACAGTTTTTATAACCTTCTAGAAATGATTTCGCCACTTATATAAAAACGTCAATTTCTCCTACCTATGCTATTTAGTTATTTCTTCTCTTTGTTCATTTCTGCTTTGGTCAAAATCTGGTTATGTATTACACACAACAAACAAGGAAATAAAATACTTTTGTATAATAATATGTATACTTTTTTTTAATGTAATCTTTATTTATGGAGTAAAACTATCAGAAAATAAAATAGCTTATATCTTTTTTTTAAACATAAAGAAACCTTTAATTTCGGACATACTCCCTTTTATATAACTTGTTTGTTGATGTGAAGATGGTGAAGGAGTAGAAGTTAGTTGTTGATAAGAGGATGAAGGCACGTAAGAGATCGAAGTGTGGTCTTGTGGAGTTGTAAGAGATATGAGTGCGGTCTTGTGTTGATAGCGTTGGAATAGGAGTTAGTTGTTGAGGAGAGGCTTTATCTTCTCCTTACTTACATCATACACTCTACTTTACGAACGGCAATAAAAAAATTAGTTTAGTAGGCATTCTTGACCATGTCACTTCGCCGGGTCACAGGCTAGGGTGGATATGATTTGAATTTCGATAAAATTTCAATTAATTTATTTATTTTATTCACTTTTTTTTTGTTTTTTGTAAAATATCCGTTATAATATTCTACTCCGTTTATATGATTAAAATGTAAAAATTTTGTTACATAAAAAAAGGTCATTCAGTATCACTGTTTTGTTAACTTCTTTCCGCGAGGGTTGCCGGCAGCGACTGCCAAAAGAAATCGGGCCGATGCGCCTACACACACGCAGTAAGGAGGGGGCGGTGCCCCGATCTAGGAAGCATCGGCTGATCTAGGAAGCATTTTTGCTCCTGCCAGCCGATTAAGGAGGCGATATCGGCCACGACTTAGGATGGCCCTACATACGACACGATTTAGAGGCAATCTAGGAGGCATTCCCACTACTCCACCCTAGATCGCCACCGATATCGTGTCGTATGTAGCCCGCTTAAATATCTTGAATCAGTATGTGTTTAGGCATTTCGACTTCAAATTGAATAGGTACTTTCAAGTTTTGTATAACCCTGAGTGATTGAAATGTGTCACAATGTGGCGGACACTAGTCACACTAATCAGAATTTCTGTTATTGGGAGACTGTTTCTTATTGCATAGTTTATCACCAGCTGGAGAGTATATATGAAACAACACTCTGAATAAAGTAAAAATTAAATGCCTGCCGCGCAACCTAAACAAGCGAAATCGATTGGGCGTTAAACGCTAGGTTATAACAAAACGAGTTCTTACCATTGAGGTATTACTATACGTTAGTAACATAGTTCGATTGTTCTTACCCGTAAAATAGGTACAAGAAAATGGTTGCCAGCATTTAAAAATGTAAAATCTGTATAATATCAGACCGATTTCTTTAACTTCATTGTTTTCTTTTCTCATAACCTTAGAAAAATTATAGATTTCAGTAACAAATAAATGATTGGTAAATTCAAGTCTATATACATACCATAAACGTGATGTTATTATTTGATAGTAAATAAGTAATTTTTATATTCTTTTTAATGTCGAATAATAATGGCGAATTATTTGATTATTCGTCATAGAGGATGGCTATTAATCGATACTCGATTATTCGCGGTATCTCTACAAATTTTCTAAAGGTTCGGTAAAAAATACTTATATAAGTAAACAATGTTTATTGCTGTTTCATTAAACATAAATATACTTGTCATTATTAATAGGTAATGATAAATATTTAAAAATACACTATATGATACATTTTTACCATTTAAATATTCTTTGGTTATTTATTATAATTATTATATTAAATGGTTTAACAAAATAATTTAATACTTACTTAGTTCTTTACTTAATATTATCATAACACATATATTATATTTTGTAATAAAATATGAAAATAATTAAATCAAAAGCTTTAAGGTCAAGTATGACAAACAAGCACTAATATATCTGCATAAAATTGTAGGTACTTAGACCACAGCAATGTAATGCACGTTGTACAAAACCTACCAAAGTAAACTAATCACGTATTTTCAAAAATAAGGACGGATTTAAAAATGCATGACTGGCGCACGTAATAGAGAATATACAAAAATCATCTCTATTTTATAAATTATATTTAAAATAATTTAAAATATGTGTCGTTTCTGTCATCCAATTTATGTCAACTCAATTGGATGATAGGTATTATTATTTACTTACATCAATTTACACACATGTGAAAGTATAATCTGAATAAAGATTTACCTAATTATTTGGACATGTTTACATATTCAAGCTGTTTTTCTTTTAAAATCATGATACTCGTAAAAACCTTTCATAATATACATAATAAACGGCATGAATTATGAGCGCTGACCACGTGCGAGTCCCTATATTCGGAGTTATAAGAGGTTAATAACGCCGGTGTCCAAAGGGTTCATTCCTCGTTTATTAGTTGATGATTGATGCAATCACAATACAAGTTTAAAGTACATTACCATATAGTTTATTGAAAATATATTGTGTGCCAACTGGTCACGCTAAAATAGTCTAGCGCTCAATACTCGCGCTGATTACTATACTACTGCTATATATTATATTCTTTGAGTAACACCTCATATTTTTAAAATGTATTAAATCTCAAGATAAATTTAAAGCATAGGCCAACACACATGATAAGACGGAGAATATCATACTGTACGGCCTATCCGCGCCATTTCCGCACACCATTCTCCGTGACGCTACAGAAAGTTTCTTATTCTGCAATAAAGTGTGAACCGAATCAACTTCCCAACGCGGCATAGTGCCAGGATCGCGGGAAAATAGTACAGAATAAAGCTGAGCTGGTGTCGTAGCCGTGCCTTCTTGACAGAAATTTAAAAGCAAATGGTCGTTAACAGCTTTTAGAACTTGAACCGTGCCGGTGAACTGCTGATAGCTTGGACGATTTGTTAGCGTTCCTGCAAAAATAAAATTAAAAAAATATGAATAAAATAGGCAAAAATATTCTAACTTAATAAGCATAACGCCTTCGACGATAATAATTGTTAATTATTTGAATCAGGCGTTACTTTACAGTAATCCATTATTTTAAAAACAAATTATAAAATAAAAATTATGTCTTTTACCTAGTTTAAAGAGCACTGCTCTCCTTTCAATTGCGTGTACTATCATCGCTAATCGCACACTGGCGGAGGCGAAACACGTGTCGTACTAACTACAGTGGTGTCTATCAATCTACAGAAGTGTGTTTGTGTTAGTAGTGACGGAGACAGTACATGCAATTAAGGGAGAGCGGGTGGTGGCCTTCAAACTAGGAAAAACACACATATAATTTACATATAATTTTTTATTTTCGCGCGAATCTTACATTACTCAATACTACAACAGGAACACTATTATATAATTACTATACAACAGGAGAAACCGGAGAAAATGGGTTTATCCCGTTGTAGGGAGGATCTACCGAAATCATGATGCTTGGCAGACTCACATCACTCAACTGTGATTACTCTGTGGTATTGACGAGATTTTGCACTTTTGGTCTGGGTATTTTACATCTGTCTTACACTGTGATAGTACTGTCTATCAAAGACCATGAGATGTTTTTGGCTTTTCCTATATTTTGAAGTGAAAACTTCTTTAGCGGCGTTGTACACTTTTTTAGAATGGGTAAAAAATGTTTTTAGAAAGGGTAAAACTCGCGTCAGGACACGAGACCCTGATCGAAAATTCGTAAGACGGATGGAGAGAGAGAGAGACAGCCGGCGCGGCGTAGGAGAGGAAGTATCTCCCTCTCTTTCTACGGCGCGGCGAAAATGTATACCTGCGCCTGCTGTTTCGTTTAGGCGGCGCAGGGCGCTTGCGCGAATGTTCGTGTGTGATAATTAAAGCAATTCGTACAAAATTATTCCCTAATGATTCCAAAATATAACATAACGTTAATATTCAAGTTTTCACTTCTACCAGCACTCCCGGAGTGCAACCCGTCGTTTTTTTTCTTATGCGACCGCCACACTGCACAACTGCGTTCAATAGAGGCAAATACACTGGGTGCATATGCAGCGCATTAGCTCTCCGTCATTGTTCGCACGTAACATATTTTTGCGACGTCTCATAAACAAACTTTGTGCGATTTTGAATAAAATTTATGCGTGTACATGTTTTTGAGCGTGCGTGTGCGTGTGCGTGTATGCGACGGCTTTACAGCTTTTGAACGGCTTAACCGATCGAAGCGTGGCTCACGGCATTCGAAAGAGCTCCATTACCATTAGATTTCATGTGAATTTCAATCAATTCGGCCCGGTAGATTTTGAGAAATCTCAAAAATTTAATTTTCAAAAATGTTTTTTTGAGATAACTTTTAAACTAATTTATCGATCGATTACAAAATCTAATCAGCTCTTGGTTTGATTCGTTCAAGAGAAATTGTTGTCAAAATTTATAGCTCAAAAACGTCATAACAGGTGGAATTTGGAGCGTTTTGCGTTTGAAATTAGCGGGAAGCTGCAGAGATGGCGATTAGGTAGATTGTCCATCGCCGCCGTCAATGGGACGGCAACGAGAACGAGATTATTTCTGACCGAGATCAAGATGACGTGACGCCAATCGTTTTTCCACCGCGACAATCTCGATGGTTCAGTCAGATAGTTGCAGATGTCGTGCGTTGGCGCGGTGTTAAAATATATTTTGTATTGCCATTACATCGACCCGTCACAATCTCGAGCCGAGTTCTAGCGGTCGCGCCGCTAAAATTCGGCGGCACTCGGGTGAAGAGCTACCTCGGCGCCGTCATCTCGTGTGCGTCATGTTGACGTCCCGGTGACGGCAGTGGTGGAAAATCGCTCTTAACCGATTTTTTTAATAAAATTAAAGTAAAAAACAAACTTACACTCTACCTGATGTTAAGTGGCTACTGAAGTCAATGGTCACTTGCAGGCTTCTTGAAACATTAAATGTTGCTGTTAAGTTTGTCATCTCTGAGGACTGAGATGGAATGCCTCACAGCTCATAATTATACTTGCTCTCTATACCCTTCAGAACGGCACAGAGCAGTGCATGTACTGCTGCTTGGCGGTGGAAATAGGTAAGAGAGCGAAGGCGTCGCTAACTGATGGCCCGGGGAGGAGGGGAGATCATATATAGAGGATGGGAAAGTGTATGTACCTGAAGCATTATTTAGTGTTTGGGGGGGGGAAGATAGCTTCCCCCGTCCCTAACCCCTCTTGGCGACGCCCTTGTAAGAGGGCGCTACTGGTCCAGATGAACCATGCGAATAAAGGGTTCTACTATTTACAAGTATACGAGTAGAAGCTAGCTAACAAATACAACATCGCTAAATAAATTGTATACCATTTTGTCCATCGAGAGCCTGCCAGTAGCCAGCGGAATCATTTCGGAAATATAACGAGTACTCGATGGTCTTGCCGGCTTCGTCCCACAGTAGCCGCAAATGTCTGAACTCCTGCCTAAACTTCGCGTTAATGTGTTGAACGTGAAATAGCTGATTCTCTGTAGATGGCTGAAAACAAAACAATAACTTAGTTAGAAAATAATGTATTTGTAAATAAAACATGACAATGAAATTGCAGTTAATAAAAATATTATAATCCTATGTTAAAAATTATAATAATGAAAAATAAATAATACCTAAGAAAAAATAAAATAGTAAATAATTTTTAATATTAAAGGGATTATTAAATTCATGTAAACTGTAAATGATTTTACAAAAGTAGGAAATACCATAGATTTAGTATATACTGATAACACTAATATTACTATTATCTTTTTAATTTTTCATTTATGGATTGGTAGGTATATCTGCTTATCTGGTATGCTATATCTAGTATAAATCATAGCTTATGAATGTAATAGGAACATTAATATCGGAAAATATCGATTTTTATACTTAAAGTTATCTATACATATCAAAAATTAAATTTCTTTTACTAGTGACAAGTCATATATAAAAAGATTGCACTTTCAAAACTAATATTCTTATTCTAACAATAGGTTCTTTAAAATTTAACTCACGACACAGGGTCAGTGGTGGTTAAATGGGTCATCAGATTGACCTCGCTAATGCCACCCATGACTCAACGTGTTAGGTAGGTACGTGGGTAGTTATGCTGCGCCATTTAGGTCATTCCCATTGATTAAGAGACATGAATTGATTAAATTATTTGCTGGAGACTAGATAAAGTAATTTACTTTTAAACCATGAGGTGGTGACATTAATCATCACCCTATTTTTAACCTTCGCGTAGTGTATATATTCTTTGCCTCTGATGAAAACAGGCAGGTGTTACAAGTTTGTAGTGAACATCTATGACCGATTTTGATTAAGATTTCTTCGTTTGAAAGGTGTCTTAATCTAGAGTGTTCTCTGCTACCTTTCAAGAAAATCTGTTCAGACGTTTGAAGATAATCATCTCTTTATGTTTAGGGTTTCTTTTTAATTTAAGTTAAGTAAACGGTGTCGAGGAGGCGTCTATGGAAAAATCACATGTCCTTCGATATATGGCAGTAGACTGTATGTATATACTAGATGTAAAATATCCAAACAAAACAGGCAAACGTGGAAGCTGCGAGAAGTCTAGTACTTCAATTACTATTTCATCCGCGAAGCATGACAATTACAGCAAACACTTTCTAGTTACGTTGGCATAGACCTGCGTCCAGCAGTGGATACAAAGGACAGCTTAGCCACCTGCATCCATTGATCCAATGTTTCATTAGGTCGGCACTCCTGGTGGGGCCAGGAGTGCCGACCTAATGAAACATTGGATCTCTCTGCCGGGCTCCTCTTTAGTTGAGTCATCAAACACTGTGCTTACCAGTACGAGTCTGCGATTACATCATGATTTAACTCTATACTTATAAAACGAGTATATTATCACATCAAACTATATGTTATCTGAATCTAAAGTATTTTACTGTAATTAAAACTTATTTGCTTTAATTGTAAATTGTAGTCGAGTACTTAATAATGACAATAAAAACCTAACATTTTAAATAAATGAAAGAAAATATTTTTCATAGATTTTTTTTTACTGAATTAATGTCCCTAAATTATAAAAGTACGAGTGCATGATATAAAGGAAACGGGGATTTGCGAGGAAAGGATGTTGGGTCCGGATAATGCAATGATCGGGGATCCCAGTTTGATAACGACTTCCCACACATTATGGCCCCAGCATATTTGTAAATTATTATAAACAATGACTGTGATTATATATGACTTACATTTTAATGTATCTTGTATAATCTCTCTATATAAAAATTTATTGCTATCCGTTCGTCTCGCTAAAACTTAGAAACGGCTCGACCGATTTTGATGATTTTTTGTGTGTGAATGGGTTCCTGGGTGTTTTAGATTTGCATCACCAGGACCATAGACCATAGGCGCTGTTGTCGAGACCCAGTAATCACCAGTGTGAAGCCGGGGAACGCTAGCAATTGATAAAATAAAACATTTTTAAAGGGAATGTTGCGGCCCATAGACATTTATTCTCAATTAAGAAACAAATTGCAGATGCGTTGTCACCCCTGAGGACAAAGATGGAATGCCTCGTTTCCAGTCAATAAGGTCTCCGGTTCTCTTCACTCACCATACGAAACACAGCAGCATTAAGTTGCTATTTTACGCTGGTATTCATGAGAGCGTTATCCCACTTCAGTCGAGCCGACCCATTCACGCTACCACCATTATTTAGCTGCAGAGTGACTACCACGTAAACATAATTCATACTTATCAAAACTGTTATTGGAATGAATAATTATTTATAAGGTTCGGTAAGCAAAAGTGGTTGTAGATCATATAATAATAATAGTTTGTTTTAAATAACACACTTTACATGGTAGAACCACACTGTAGTAATTATCATCGTTGTAGCGTGAATGAAAACCGACCCGGTTCGAAGACGGACGGAATCGGACGCTCTCACAGAATTACAGCGAAAAAGAGCAGCTTAACGCTGCTGTGTTTCGTATGGTGAGTGCAGAGAATCAGAGACCCTTTTTACTAGAAACGATGCATTCCATCTTAATCTTCAGAATTGACAAAGCATTTGCATTTTGGTTAATAATTGAGGATCGTTGTAGATGTCTATGCACCACAGCATTCACTTACCATTCGACAGACTATGCGCTCGTTTGTCATCCTTGCTCTAAAAAATAATCCAACGAAAGTAAATCCGACTAGTTGCCTCCCAAAAACAAGTATTGGTCTGAAGGGAAGGGGAGTAAGAAACCTAGTTTAAATTACGGACGGGCGTTCCTCCTTAGTCCTCAAAAATATCAATGCACCATTGTCAATTCTTTACTTGAAGTTACTTCAAAGAAGAAAAAAAGTTACTGGAAATTGACTGTTTGCTGGGAAATGCATGGGCATGTAGTGATATTATATTTTGAGCTAAACTGATTAATTTTGATGTACTATTAAACTGTAATATATAAATAACTGTTGTGTATGTAACAAATAATCTTAATTAAAATTGAAAGAGGAGGTCCTTCAGGAGATAACTTTTGGGTTAAATAAAGTTGAGATGGGTTCTGAAATCCATCGCTTAGTTATCGATCAGCAGGTCAGGATGTTTCATAGATCTAGTATTTTTTTTTTGCCGATTACTCTTATCCTGCTATGTGACGGATTCTTGACACAATATTTCAATCATCGCCTAGCTAAAATAAATTGTACAAAAAATATCAGCCTTCCTTGTAAAATTTAAATAAAAATATCCTTTAGTCACTGCACTTGGATTGGGGGTTGACCATTAGTACTCGTAAATGAACTTTATTGTTTTCATTTGTTCATAGTTGAAATCATTTATGAGGTAAAAGAACATTTGTTTTGCTTTAAGAGGATTAATCACACAATATTAAAGAGCTTGCCTGCTACTTTCTTAGTTTTGTCTATTCGGTATATTGTATATGACTATTTGGAACTCGTAAATAATTAAATGCCCTTGATTCGGTTAAATCCATGTGATTGAGAAGACGTTCTATAATACAACGCTGCACATCTATAAATCACTTGATGATGAATGACCAAAGCGTGTCTTAAAATCGGTGCAGTAAGTAATTAAAGAATTATCATTTTTATAACGTCGTTGTGAGAAATGCAGTTCACAAACATATTATTTTCTTATGCCTGTTATAAATTAATGACAACGTAAATCTGCCATTATTATACATCACTAGACATCATGCTCAATTGAGGCAGTCCCACAATATTCTAGATGAGTTCATTTAAATTGCGACACATATTGTATCATTATTCATATTTTTTTCTAATGCTTACTTTCTAATGCTTGACTAATGTCATAGTAAAATAACTATTTAATACATATTCGGCAGAAAATAGTAAAAAGGTGTATTTCATTGACAAAATTAATTAAATCGTGCGTTCTCACAAGGTTAATAAAATTCAATAAATTATTGCTTAAAATTTAATTATACCCTAGTACGTCTAAAGTCTCAATATTTCATAAATTAAAAAATCTAATGAATTAGGTATTAATAGACATTCGGTTTGACTACGAACAATATATTTGGGATTTTAATTGAAAATATATTTAAAAATATAAACAAAGATATTTTAAGACAATGCTTTTAAAGTAACCTACCCCAAATGTAGACCTAGGGAAGTCATCAGTTTCCCATATGGTAATGAGAGGACAGCTTTTATATGTATTAACTCCCTCCTTGCTTAAATGCATATAGAGTTCGGCCACTTTCCATTTCCCCATAACCATCCTGGTGTCAAGATCATCATATTCGTGTTCTCGCTCACAAGTGACAGTGATATTGTGGTTGGTAGAATTGGAAACTTCAATTGCACCGGCCTTCATAAACAAAAGAAGAAACCAGAAAATCTGTAACCTACGTAACATCATATTTATTTATTTAAAATCATGCGTCACTTCTTCCTTGAGAGTAAGGCACTTGTTATAATTTCGTGTTCGTATTAATAAATACAATCGGTAATTCTGTTTTCGAATGTTGCGCGCGCGAAAATAAGTCGCGTATAACCGATCGCTACCGACTGGCAGTCGATTCAACGCGGCGCAGTCTTAGTCACTCGAGAAGCGACGTTATCACATTTGACCCCTGCCTTATGTATGCTTAGAGTTCCCTGTCACCTTTGGGAAAAATAAAACGAGCCAACGATTATGTCACCATTGAAACCTGACAACCTTTTATTTGTAGGGCTAATATAGGTGTAAAATAACCGCGAAGTTGAGATGGAAAAGAGTGTAGTTAATATAGTATGTTATTAAAATAAATGGTGTTGGAAATAGGACAGCAACCTATTACAATTTAAGTATGATGGTTTAAGTTTAAGGTATAATACTATATTAAAAAAATCATGCAAAAATGATTATACTTGATATTATTACTTGAAAAACAAGTTACATGCTTAAAGACATGCTATGAAAAAATATTGTTTGTTTCTATTTGTAGCTTTCATAGTGATAGGTTTAGTTTTATAGGAGGGGAAGGACTTAATGGCAATACGAGGTGTGTTCAAAAAGTAAGGTGACTTTATATTTTTATGAAAAACTATTTATTTATTCATCAATATTTATGTGTCCCCTTCAAAGTAATCCCCCCTCAGATATAATACACTTGTGCCAACGCTTTTTCCAATCGTCAAAGCATTTCTGATAATCACTTTCTGGTATAGCCTTCAGCTCTTTCAGCGATGCAGTTTTTATCTCTTCAATCGTTGCAAATCTTCGTCCTTTCATAGGTATCTTCAGTTTTGGGAAGAGGAAAAAGTCACATGGGGCCAAATCCGGTGAATATGGTGTGGTGATTGTAGTGTTGTTTTTGGTCAAAAAACCTTTCACAAGCAAAAAGCGAAATTGAGCAATTTTGGAACAAATTTCGCTGACACACGTTTCATGCCCAAAATATCCGAAAAAATTTCATGGCAAGAGCCAACCGATATGCCAACATCCTCCGCAACTTCTCTGATAGTGATTCGACGATTTTCCAAAACAATTTTCTTCACTATTTCAACGTTTTCATCGGTTGTTGACGTGCTGGGGCGTCCAGAGCGAGGTTCGTCATTGGCATCTTCTCGGCCATCTTGAAAGAGCTTGTACCACTTATAAACGTTTTTTTTACTAAGAGTAGACTCACCGTATGCCACTGTCAACATTTCAAGTGTTTTGGAGCACGTAATTCCATTTTTTACACAAAATTTGATGCAAATTCTTTGATCCATTTTTTTTGATAGAAGAAAATCGCCGAGTACACCAAAGTACGTCTGACCTTTGTAACTGTCAAAAATAAACTAAACATGCTATACATTTCAAACTTGAAACATATGCTCAGGACATGTGTACCAACGCAACAAAATACAAAAATCGAAAATCGAATGTGCGTTGCCCGCGAAATTCAAAAAGTCACCTTACTTTTTGAACACACCTCGTATATGATGGAGGCCTATTTTCAGCAGTGGACGTATTATGGATGGTGTATTTATTATTATACTGTACTATACCACTAATCTATTCCTATTCCCATATTTATATAGCTTTTAACAGAAAATAATAATGTCCTCCAGACCGAATTTCGGCCACGGCGGCCTGCCTCAACGGAGGCTAGTCATCGGCGCAGGACAGGATTATAGTGCCCAAGTGTATGCCGCAAGCACAGGAGTACTTTTTATTCCCTCACTCTCATAATCCGATGGGATGGTAAACCGACATGACCGGAGAGAGATCAGGCGCAGAACCAACGGCTTTACGTCCTTTCCGAAGCACAGGGGTGAGATACCGCCATCTTCCTGACTCCGGGCAGCTACTGAGAATTTCCTGATAGAAAAACTCAATAATTGATTTTTTGGCCCGACCAGGGATTCGAACCCAGGACCTCATGGTTAGCAGTCGCACTACTACAACCACTAGACCCACGAGGCGGTTGAACAGAACAGAAAATATACTATCTGTGGTACCTACTTGCCGAGCATTTCATAAAAAGGTAACTAGTGGAACATTGGGTTTGTGATTGTGTATCACTTCTTTCACTATTTTCGATCAAGCCCATATTTTTGCCTAAGCGTGCTACGTGAATAGCCCGCTGCTCTTTGGACATGCCTACCGCCTTAATAATAACAGGCATGATGTTATGTTTGTACTATTACACTTGTAATTTATTTTTATGCTCGATGGACGATTGATAACTTAAATAAAAACTAATAAAATTATTATGTAAATTATTTATAGAGTAACAATTTAGGTATAATTACAAAACTTATAATTAATTATTAAATTAGGTACTTCTTATTTTGTCTATTTAAAAAATTTTATTTTTTTTTGGGGGACGTTTTTTGGGGGTTTTCATTCAATTGTTTTTTTATATATCAATTTATGTCGAAACTTCTAACCATAAAGCGCGCGGGATTAGCGCCGGAGCCTTCCCCTCGCTCCCCCACCACACCTGACATGTTATTGCATCATCTAGTGCTGCGCAAATAGCCGGAACATGCTTATGTTTTGACTATTTTTGTGAGAAAAAAAGTATTTCGTTGTGTTATTCTTAGTGAAAATTGGTAAGTACTTATATGGTGAAAATGAGTGACAGGAGATCTACTAATTGGACCTATTTTAGAGAAACTGACGACTGTAATATAATGTTTCTTTGTTTGATTTCAAATTTGATTTCAAACAAAAATTTATCAAGCTTTCTATTTTCTGTAATTGGAAATAAATCTATAATGCCTCAAAAACATAACGCTATATAAGTAGATTTAAGCCATAAATAAATATACTTTCAACAGCAAAATTATGAATGACATGGCATTACTCAATTCGTACATTTCCATACAGTGGATACTTTGAGTACCACTTTACCCAATGTTCGGTTATTTAGCCGAATATTCGGCCGAATACGAATATTCGGTAAACCTGCCGAATACCGAATATAAAACGAATATTCGGTCCACCTCTACTACTGATGTTCTTAGCACTATGGAAATAATAAACTGTGCCAGTATTGTCGCAATGATCAAGTAGTGAATGAAGATCACTAATTGTCATTGTTAGACTATGCTCGCAGGCGTCTGACAGGCGTGACGCGCGAACGTACAATACGAATTTAGTTATATACTAAAACTAGCTGGCCAGGCAGACGTTATTCTGCCCTATTCGATGACCCTTTGTCATATAAAATGTCATTAAATTTGTAATAAAATACATCGAGGGTCACTTATTGGGATAAAACCTGTCCTATCTCTCAAGTTTGACCAAACTGCACACAGTGTGCAAAATTATATTGAAATCAGTTCAGTAGTCTAACAGTACGTTTGCACTAGGAAACATACAACACGTAATGTTTTGAAACAAATCGTATAAAATAAATCACACAACATGTATTGTTGATGGTGGCGTTCGCACTCACGAAAACTGTATAAAATTTTCAAAAGATATTCAAACTTGTCTATCAAAATGACAATATTTCTACAAATTTGTTTTCAAACATTTTGTTTCTGTAGTTATAAAGATATAAAATTATAGTCAAAACATGTAATGTACAATAAACTGTCAAACATATTTCAATACAACTACTTTGACTATTTTTTTTTTTGTGAAAATCGCGTCAGTGCAAACTCACGGTAAGAGTTTATCGCGGACAAACAACGTGACACAATATATACATATATATATATATATATTAATATATATATATATACGCAAAGAATAATTGTAAAAGTATAAATTGTATGTAACAGTCATACTCTTAATGATTTCTTATATTTACGAGAATACTACTCATTGAAAATGTTTTATCCCGTTTATATTAAGTCACTCTCTTCTTTGTCTATCTTTCCGGGTGGAATTTATTAATTGATATTAAACTCATTTCCCCATGCGTAGGAAACTTGAAATTTTGAATATAACTTAAATTCGGATGAAAATGCAAGAATATAATAAAAAACGTGATATATTTAAAAAAATATACAAAATAGTTACGGATTTATTCGCATTTAATTTACTTACAAATTCTTGCAAAATAACACCGATTCTTACTAAGGGTGATATTGATACGCGAGGCTAATGAAATTAAAAAAACTTCCCAACTTCAATGGAGAAGATGAATGGGTGCTGCCATCTGCCTGGGATCCTATAATTAACAAAATAAAATCCAAACCCAAGCATACCACTGCAAGACTTCAAGATACCGTAAGCTTGTTCCGCGTAGACAGACCTAATATTAATATTCAAAACCGTAAAAAAAGGTAGACCGGTAAACTATGATATCGGTACGTCATCCCAGCCTCCTCCCCGTGACCACAGGTGCTGCAAAGCACCCGAAACGTCGGGAATTTAAATAAGTAAATTAAACGCAATAATATTTGTAAAAAGAGTTTTATTCAACTAAACTGGTGAATATTTTTTCTAAGCTTAACAGCGAATTTTATGCACAAATTGCCATAATTATAATACGTAACCATTATAATGAATATGAGAAACTCTACAATCTAAAAAAGGTCAAAAAGAATGTTATCAAAACTCTTAAGATTAGGTAATGATTTCTTATATTTACGCGAACACTATACATTGATTAAAACTACTTTTACGGATTTTATCGCGTTTTATTTATATTAATTTTAATACTTGACGTTTCGGGTGCTTTCCAGTACCCATGGTCACGGGGGTATAAAACGCGATAAAATCCGTAAAAGTAGTTTTAATCAATCTTAAGATTAGGATTCATTTCATGAAGATTTACATCAACATAATCATCATTACAGCCCATCAAAAGTCAACTGGCACATTGCATAGATTACCTCATAAAGAAGATATTCTCCATAGTTACCACGCATAGCAGGCAGATTGGCAACCGCCATTTTGTTACATTGATTTGTTTTAGGAAGATGCGTGTTTCATTTACCGCTATCGCCTGTTACGACACCCACATATGATACTTGGTATTAGATTCTCTTACTCCGCCATTGCATGGCGTCAAATACTTAAATCGCAAGTGCACAAGCATCCAGACTGCTGAAACCATAGAATACTATAACACGCAATAGAATGGCTCAACCTTATTTTGTACGACGATAGGCGTCGGCGGGAGCACAAATACAAGCAACAACGTCGTATTATCACTACTACAAATCCGATTCACCATGTTGACAGACAGATTTTAATACATATTTATTTGTAAATAGCGTGCAATTTGGCATTTTCTAAATAATTTGCATGGGAAATTTAGAAACGATTGTAACGTCAAAACACACCTCGTGTTGACATTTATACGTGTGAATTGACGTGATAGTGACATTTTAGTGGCTACACGGGCTCCACCCACTCCCCCGTTCTATTATGTATGTATTATAGTATTCTATGGCTGAAACAATTACTTTTATTCCATACAAATATTCTTGTGACCTAACGCATCGCTACTGCTATACCGAGTTATCAAAAACGTCAATAAGAGTTTGGCCAAAATTTCTACAGCTGGGATTCAAACTCGAAACCCATAGCACATCAGACAAGATTCTTAAAAAGGAAAGAAGTTACAAAAGAAAGAGCTGTTATAAATACTCAAACGCTACCTACTCAATTTTAAGACGCCGTCAAGTCAAATGCTGTCTCTATCACTTTAAGTCAAAGTTATTGTGAAGCCACGAGACCAACGACATCTTTAAATTGAGTAGTATTTGAGTATTTGGCAAAAAGAGTATTAGTATACTATACGAGAAATGATATTATACTTTATTGAACTTAAATACTTCATTGACACACCGCAAAATATTATACAATTCTCCTCCTAAACGGCAGGACCGATGTTGATGCAATTTTGTGTGTATTATTAATTACTCTAATACTCTAATTAAGTGGATTCAAGAATGCTTTGGATTCACAATTGAACCCGGTAGATGGCGTTAGTGTCCGGGGTGAATAGCTAGTTAGCTAGTAGTTTTATTTTACTCAATGATAATGATTAATGATCATTGGACCGTGACGATGCGTGCTGTAAAGCACCCGAAATGTCGCGAATTAAAATAAGTAGATTAAATACTTGAAAATAGTTTTATTCAATTACTCAATGATATCAATATTTTAGAGTTAAATATTTACTACTAATTCGATAAGCCATTACTTACAATCTTAGTTATCTTAGTATTGATAACATGTATATGTACTGGATAACTTCTTTGAATTATTATCTCATGTACCTAAACTGTTTCTCCAGGTTCCATTAGTATATTTTTTTATATAATGTTTATTTAATTAGATGAAACAAAATACGTAACATTCTACTGCATATGAAATTAATATAAGATTTATGGGTGCTGCTATCTGCTGGACCCCAATTAATATCCCAATAGTTAATAAAATTAAATCCAAACCCAAGCATACCAATGCAAGACTTCAAGATACTCATTCTGATTATATATAATAGGTAACATCTTTGTATCATACAAAATTAGTTCTATTGTTGCTTTGAATAAAACTAAATTTACGGATTTTATCGCGTTTATTTCACTACTTTTACAAAATTAAATCATTCTATTGTTGCTTTTCAGTTGTAGTCGCTATTCACGAGGAAGGCCCGGGCGCACAGTGTCGTAATTCGAGTTTATTTCCTAGTACCTATAAGATAATTTGACTCAAGCTATCTTACAGTCATATCCAAATAGTCATGAATTCCTGTTAGAAAATACAATTTGACTCCAAAAATATAAACATTTTAGCTTAGTTCATTTATTATATTAAATTATAAATGTATGAAAATGTTAGATTATAGTTTCTATTAATTATTGTTTTCCTATTAAGTATTGTTCCCGCCAAAACACACAGTGAATAAAGTAGTTATAAGTTTCGTAGATTATAGTAATTTTAATACTACAGAGATATACTATACAAAATTACATTTCTTTTTAAGATAATAAGCAAATAAATAAACTGGAGAAAAATTAATAGAATAAAATAAAGTTCCGAAGATTGGGTAGTAGTAGATTAAATGATTTACGAGACAAAATAAAAAACGAAATCCTTTTATTGAAAAAAATAAGGACTGTCGATACTCATATTTTTAACGCTTAGCCCACCGCGCGACCATGGTATCGCCCCGCCTTTGCGTCGAGCATCGAGCGAACGCGCTAATGCTGGTGCTACACTAACGTGAAACGTCAATGCCTATAAACGCAACAAGTATTCCTTAAAATTTTACGCAATAAAGTTGGCTACACTTGAACGCTTCACGTTATTAAAATTCAATGCCATTGAACGGCGTTAAAGTTGGCGTTATTGTTCCTTGAAGACTTTTTATATCTGTTAGAAATGCTTCAATAAAAACCTACTAGGTATTCCTTCGCCTTTCTAATTCTTCGATAGTTGTATTAAAAGATAAAAATTGGATAATTCGTCGCAAAGCATCATTTTGCGCTGTACGATGCTTAAAACTTTTGAGTCTCGGATCCCACAAACATGGCTCTGTTTGCAGAATCTTAAGAAACGTAATAACTTTTTATTATTCCGCTCCATCATAGCCATACGTGCGACCTTGTTGCGTTCATCGTGCGCATTGGCCACTTGTAAACGATATAAAAAAATTACTTGAATTTTTGAAAATGTAACTATTTGCCAATATTATTGTGTATGTATGTATTTTATTAATTAGTCATTTGTTTACGATTTGGCGGCAAATTGAAAATTGTCAGTGTCACGTCACCACCAAAAATTTTTCGATAATCATTTTTTATGACTTTCGATGTCATTTAAGTCAACAAGAAAGTTGTGATAGACTTCGATTGGCCTTTCACGATGAAGCTCCATCTCGTGCCACTGTTTGCAACTAGTTTAGTGAGTTTAAACGTGGTCTCGATAATCTCACCGATATGCGTGATACCGATCTGCGTGAGGGACGGCCTTCTACGGCGACGACTAAAGATAACATCTGTGTTGTGCGGCGTATGATAGAGACCGACAAAAGAATAACTTATCAGCAGGTTCGTACAAGCTTAGACATAGGCACAAAATCCTCCATGAACATTTAGCGGTCAGGAAGCTTTGTACCTCATAATTTGAAAGAAACTCAAAAACTCCGTCGTGTTAATTGGTGTCGTGAAATGGTTCAAAGATTTAACAGAGTCTACTGTCTGGGTGTTTTTCCATGGAGTTGCCAAGTAAAGTGAAGATGAAGAGAAGACGAAGCGGGAAAAAACCATGGTTGCCTCGGTCTTCGGAAGGACGGGTCATTACGCAACAATTGTTTTAGAGGATCGGAAAACATTTGCTGCATAGTGGTACACTAACAATTGTTTACCGCTTGTCTTGGAAAAAGTTCGGGAGAAACGACCTCACAGTAGGATCCTCCTTCACCACGACAACGCCTCATCGCACACCGCCAAGCAAACAATCGACTACTTGGCGACGTCAGACGTGGAATTACTGGTTCGCCCGCCCTGTAGCCCCGACCTCGCACCTTGAGATTTTTATTTATTTCCGAAAATAAAAGAAAACTTCGAGGAAGCAGTGGCTGTGTTTCAAAATGCTTTCGAAGAGACCCCTAAGAACGAGTGGGCAAAGTGCTTTTTTCAGTAGTTCCATCGGAAGCAGCGATGTATTAATGTAAATGGACACCATTTTGAAACGATATAATAAAACTACTAACTTGCTAGTTTGTTCAGTTTTTAATTTTGTAAGAATTTTCGGTGTCACCCTCGTAGCTTCGCAGTGAGTTGCAAAACGGGTTCGAATCCCGCATGGAACAAGTATAATATAGCCTACAAATAACTGTTTCGAGTCTGGATGTTTGTCCTTGTGAAATTTATGTAATATGTAGAATAGTGTGGATGTAACGTTTTTTACGAAGAAAAATAGAAACTAATTTTTTTTAGATCCACCATTGAACACAAGCTCCTTCCATAGATAGTTTCGTAGGGAAGATTTTGCCAGTGTTGATGTGATGACCCACGGGATGTAAGGGTTAGTGGATATTCTTGTACCACCACTGCACAGTATCTCTCATCTTTACATATTATTACATAACTATTTTACAATAGACTTTACACAATAATCATACTTAAAACAGTTCTTATAATATGTTGCACCAATATTAAATTGGGCTGGGTTCAAACTAAAAAAATAACGGGGAAGTTCCACATACGCGACACTGGAAATCTCACTAATATAAGAAGGAATATACTACTCACCCGATCGTGTGGCTCCGAAATGTGAATAACGATGCACGTTCTGACATAATCTACTCTTGAATCCCCAGCTAGATGTTGAATGTACTCCACGCCATACCATATTCCAGTTAAACTGTCCACCCAAATCCCAGTCTGCGGTGACCTATTAACGCAGTAATCCCTCATATTGTTCATAAACGGTGCCTCGTACGACGTGTACCCTTGTCCATAACCGCTTCCATACTTCGGGGAAGTGTACCCTGGCTGCATATAAACATTTGATCCCGTATTATAATTGTTGTAGCTTGACGTCGAATACCCCGAATTATATTTGGGATATCTCGTTGCATCTGGGAACGTGGCTATGTCACTCCCATAACTTCCTGTCTTGTAAGAGTATTGATTATAAAGATTTGCAATAGTACTGTAGCTGGGGTAACTCGTAGTTTCACCATAACGTTGATAACTAGCGCATTTTACTGACGCAGCGAGAGTTATTAAAATGGCGACGTTAAGGGACATTTCGCGGTATCTTCGTAAAGATTGTCGATGGGTAAGATGTCGCGGGTTAGTTGTGTGACGGACAGTGATGTGCGACTGCAGCGTAGTGTATGATAGTGGGATGTAAACTGATTAATTCTAATTGTAACCATTCAGCTCGCGAGTCAAAGGCTATAAGTCACTTGTTTAAACTTTCAAACTTGAGACTACTCTTTTGCCACCATGATAGTAATACAAATAAAACTAATGTATACTTAATTTCATTCAATTACGTATCATAATGTGTCTGAGTCAACCTGCCTATCTTAGGAATTAAATATTACAAGGATATGTGAAGTCCGCCAACACGCTCTGGAGCAGTCATCATCATCACTACAGCCCTTCACAAGTCTACTACTAAACATAGGCCTCCCTCAAAGAAGGGCCATGGTGGCATTCTGAGCAGTGCGGCAGACTAATTGCTCTATAACTTTATCAGAAATGGGAGGAGACCCTAATTCAGCCTTAAATTGAGACCTGTATAGAACCTTTAACTTTTTAACCATACCATTTTGATACTTTAATTTTTTAACCATATTAATATGCAACAAGAGGTGTGTCAGAGTCAAGCTAAGTGGAAGTCTGTAGTCTCTGCCTGCCCCTTTGGGTGACAGGCACGATTGTCCACGTATGTATGTAAAATATAACTATCATTTTTCTAAATAAAAGCCATCAATAAATAAACCGTTAGTTTCTTTCCGGTTCTTTACGGAAGAATTTTGCTTTTCCTTTTGAAACCAGTAAGTTTCGACGCATAAAAGAGTTTTAAATAAACGTAAACTAGATAATTGAATAAAACTAGTATTTACGGATTTTACCGCGTTTAATTCAACTTTAATTTATTTTTATTATCCCGACGTTTCGGGTGCTTTACAGCACCCATGGTCACGGGGGGGACTGAGATGTTTGACGTCCCAATGTCATAGTTAGTCCGGCTACCTTCAGTTTTTGAATATTAATTTTTGGTCCGATTTACGCAAAATGAGCTTATAGTATCATGAAGTCTTGCAGTGGTGTGCTTGGGTTTGGGTTTAATTTTGTAAATTATAGGATCCCAAGCAACGGGCAGCACCGATCCATCTTCTCTACTGAAATTTGGATGTTTTTTAATTTCAATAGCCTCGCGTATCATCCTTGGTAGGAATCGGTGTTCTTTTGCGAGGATTTGTGGTTTATCAAATCTAATGTAATGGTGGGGACGATCTTGAACATGTTCGCAGACTGCAGACTTCCCGGAGCGTCGGTGCTTCAATTTAAAAATGGAACGCACCCGTGTTATCTTAATATATGTATAAATTACGTGTCACGTTGTTTGTCCGCGATGGACTCCTAAATTACTTAACCGATTTTAATAAAATTTACACACCGAGTGTAGTTTGGTCCAACTTGAAAGAAAGGATAGTTTTTTGCCGATGAGTGTACCCACATTTTTTTTGCGAATTTATAGATTTTTAATAGGACATGACAAAAGGTCGTCGAAAAGGGCAGAACAACGTCTGCCTGGCAGGCTAGTATGTTTCTAAAAAGCAAATTTATTTAAAAATAGAACTCTATAAGCCAATTACTCAATATTAAAAAAAACAATGGTCTATTAATTTTCCTGCAACGCTTCTCGCACTTTTCATTTAAAACGATGGATCCTAACCGTTAACATTTGCGCGCTATGATCTATTATGATTTTAAAATTGGTTTAACCGAACATTTAAGTTTACAACGGTTACTTACTACGGAAAATTGTAGGTCAGTCAACTCTGAATAGTATACTACAGTTGCATTACCCAAAGCTTTTCAAGCTGTGCGGGAGAGAAGACCAAAGACCGGGCTTCGGGGAATCATGCTGCATCACGATAACGCCTATTCACATACCTCCCTTAGAACAAAAGCATTTATTGAGGAACCTGGTATTGAAACTCTAAGTCACCCACCCTACAGCCCTGACTTAGCTCCTTGTGATTTCTTTTTGTTCCCAAGAGTCAAAGAAAAAATAAAAGGTAAGTTTTTTTCAAGCGCCGAAGAAGCCGTGGCTGCCTACGAACCGACCTGTCAGATCAAGTCCGGCAAAAGTGTTTCAGAGTTGGTTTAGGCGAATGGAACTTTATATAGAGCATGATGGAGAATATTTTGAAAAGATGTAAAATAAATATTTATAGTATCAAGAATACTTTTTGTATATCTCAAAACTTATTGAGTGTCCTAGGTACTTACAAGTTATAAGACAATAGTGACTCTATTTTACTAGAACAATACAAATATGCGGTGAATTCTCCAGATCACATCTTCTGGGTTCAATTTTGGACGAATTTATTGTATATAACCCTCGTAGTATGATAGTGACCTTTATCTTTTATAATTTGCGATATTTTAACTATTTTAATCTATTTTATTTCATTTCATTAAGTTTTTAGTAGTTATATACAACATGTAACATAATTAACGCACTTTGAGAAAGTAGTTTGTTCAGAATCGTTTACTGAATCGATTCCTATCATTTTTAATATAGGTAATTTTTTATCCCAAAAATAATTAAAACTACGTAAATTACAGTCACACTAAATTTGTACAGTCAAAACAAACTGAAATGGACCATAACTTAAGGCAATAAGACTTTTAAGAGTGCAGTTTTATTTGTATTATTACTAATTCTGTCATTCAATAAAAATAAAGAAAAATAAACTTTATTTCAAGCACGTTAAAGTCTTTGCGTTCGTGGATTTGTACTGTGACCACAATTCTTCAGGAATTAGTATAAATAATTTGATAAATAATCAGTACATAAAAATGTTTAAATAAAAATTCTGTGTATTTATTATGATTATAACATAATATACTAATTAGGGCGTCTGAGGTGCGTTAATTACTTTACATATTGTATAAGGTGGTGAACATATTTAAGGATGTCTAAGATATTCCATGGGCATATAAACATATTATAGAGAAACATGCACTAACTTATTATGTTGGTGTATTTTTCAATTTTATTTTAATGGAATATGTCGCTAAAATCCTTATTAATAAGAAAATATAACTGTTAACTTGAAAAATTGATTTAAAAAAGCTCATACCTGTAATAATAACGATGACGATGATAATAATATTTTCTTTTTTTTTTATATTTTACTTTTTGATATACTATTTATAAATAATTTATTTTGGGGGAAAATACTCATGGTTATCCTTCAACCGCGAAGGCGCTAAAGAGATTCGCGGGATACGCGTAAGTTACGCGTATCCCGCGTATGCGTTATAGAATACATTTTTAGAGACATGGGACAATTACAAGACATTCAAAGCTTAAAACCTATGAAAGGCAAATCCGATAAGGTCTAGTAAGTAATAGTTATATTATCAACACAAAGTTAATAACCGTGTAGCATTTAATTCCCGAAATTAATTAGCAACTATGTCCTAGTTCTAAGCTGTATAATTGGTATAATTTGCTTACGAAAGGACTTCCTCCTTATCGTTATGACTTCACCTCAACCCGCGTGGTCGGAGTTCAGAGGCCGCTCGTTCAGCACTTCCTCAAAAACAACTTAATTAAAGCGACCATAGGTACTGCCTGCTTCGAAACTCGCAATTGGCGGAAACGCGTTATCGCTACATAAAGGGATAAAGCTTTATCATTGCGCAAATATTTTTTTTATATATGCCCTTCAGAATAAAAAATGGTTTAACGGTTTAGATTCACAAGTTTAGGTGAGCCGCATGCTCGTTTGCCCCCTCTTCTGTAAAAAAAAAATAGTGCTTCGTTGACAGGACCACTTTAGATCGATAGTCGACTATCTTAATAATAAAACTTGATTGTTGCTTATATTACAAAAACAAAATAAGGTCTCGATTCAATTGATTTTTACACAGTAATACGCCCATTAAGTATGTTTAAGAAAATAAAAATACTACTCTGACTTATTATTATTCATTTATTTTATTATTAGCAAAGGCTCCGTAAATAAAAATAATTATTTTTTCTAAAAATACATTTCACATACACGGTCATACTGATTCGGAAATAAAAAATATATAATTAAAGTAAAGCAAAAATGAGGAGAAAGGTTTATCAAATCCATGGTTTAATTTGCATGGCATTAATGCCTCGTGTCAAGTAAACTCGAGTTCTAAACACATCAGAATTACACAGTTATTTCATACTGGTAAGAATACCAATATGAAATAGCGTGAGAAGTAGTAAAGTGAGAGCGTGATTCACCCGGTCGAGCCGAATTATTCGTGGTACAACCATAATATAACATGACTCTACCACGTAGCAATGTAGACTCGAATCGTAACCTACTAATACTAATATAATAATTGGATTACATTTTTAACGGGGTGTTCATTATTTAAGGCTTATACTTTCATAACAAAATAATTTTAATGACATTCTAACGCAAAAGATAAACGATTTAGTGAAACCCCTATGAAGAAACGATTAAATATTTGATATGAAACTACAGTAGGGCCTCGGTAATCCGGACTCCCGCTTGTTCGGTGATCGCTGTAATCCGGCCGGGCAATGGGCTTCCGGGGCGGCGTGCGGGTGCAGTCGCGGGCTGCCATGAGTCAATCACTCTTCTTCTTCTGTTTATCAGACGTCGTCAATCTTTTGTTTATCGTCTTTCGTGTAGTACGTACAGTGTCAATATAGCACGTACAACATTACACATTACATAACATTAACAATAAAAGACAAATCGCGGATTATTGAAATGTTAGGTAAAGGGGACAGCTACCCTGTCATTGCTCGGAAGTTTGGTATGGGCAGTTCAACTGTAGGCGACATAAAGAAAAACAAAGATAAAATCTTGAAGTTTGTTAGACTAACAGAACGTGGTCATTTTCATAACCTAAATATGGCGTACTATAATCCGGATGCCTCGATAATCCGGAAAGAGTCTTGTTTTTGTCTCTCCGGATTAACGAGGTCCTACTGTATTTTAATCACAATAAAGCATTGCTTATGTTACTTGCAGGAGCAGTGTACTCGTAGCTTTCTATCAGTGATAAAACTATATGAATCGAATCAGCGGTTCAAGAAATTATCTTCTACAAGCAAACTTACAAAAAATTTTACCTCTTTTCAATATTAACTTTTGGTACATAAAAATTTGTAATTTTTATTTTATAATATGACAGTAGCAATAGACGGCCCCAAGACCCACCAGCTAAATAACTTATTGACAGTCGAATATTCAAGGCCTTAAATGCCAAGACTGGCGATCTGCGTGCTGCGTTGTGAAAGATCTAGTAGGTACCTGGTACGCAAGTATAAGTAAGTGTAAGTCGGAGGAAAAAACGTTGCTCGACTACTTTATCGGGGTACGCTCAGTTAACGCTGTGATTTACATGAAAATAGTATACATTTATAAAAAAAAATTGTTATGATGTAATTTTATAATTATATAGTATTATACAAGATGTTAGTGTAAACACCGTTGTCACTAAAACCATAGGTAAGGCTTTAAAATAAAATATTTATCCGGATTTAAAAAAAACGCTATTTTCTTTCATAAAATTTAAAAAGTTTCTGTCTGACACCGTCCGTAAATTCATGGATACCCTATGCACCCGAGTGACGTAATCACTGTAAAGATCACCGGCCGCCCTAGCTGTAGTACGTTTCTAGGGCAGGCGGAAAAAAGTACATTGACCTTTGACGATATCATCGGGGTAGGCAATCTTTTTTGTTTGGGTTCATTTTTTTACCCTTTATCATTACATACATCATCAGAGTGAAATATAAGGGTGCCGAGTACGAAGTTCTTTACAGGCCCTATGTCTCTTATTATATAATAAAGAAAGAAGATTATCCTGTACCTAAATGAATTAAAAAGCAAATTAATATTAATTTAAGTTTATTATTTATAAATCATGTGTTATTACAATTTTCATTAATACATTAATAGTAGGTAAGTACTTTAATAAGTAGATATGTAGGTAGTTGTATAAAACATAACCACTTCTTAGCAGTCAGGTAAAAAGACGAACTTTTAATGCTAAGCATTCTTAAGCAGCCAACCTTGAAGCATGAACTTCTCATAATAGATTGTCGGAGACACTTGACAGGCTATTCATCTGTATCTATTTCAGGATCATTTTATGATGATGTAGACGTAGGTATACGTTACTAGGCCACGTTTCTTTTACATATTTACAGATGTTTTCGGTTTCCGAAATATGTGACACTTTCCGGTTCTTTCGTGGTGACATAAAGTCTTTATGAGATTTTCATGTCGATGGACTCGATTTAATACTAGTGATAATATACAAAACGTCACAAAACAATAACAAAAACTTTAATACAAAACGTAATAATACAACTAACAAAACAAACTTAATAAAAATTAAAACAACTACTATAACCGAAAATTTTAAATCTCAAACTATCTACAAGTAAGCGCACCCCAAAGCAGAATGAGGAATGAGTTCTGCTCCATCCGCTTTCTTAAATACGCACGGCGTGATATCTATCACAAACCGCGTCGAAACAGGTTTATTATCTCTGAATGACCGCTTCCTTCACCCTACCCCGTACTACGAGATATACGTATACGCACAACGATACGTAATCTATAAAGAAATGTATGGAAGCATTAACTGTCGTTTGTTTCGATGCTAACATAATACTTGAGGTCAATATACTTTTTCCGCCTGCCCTAGAAACGTACTATACCTACACAACATTCCAATAAAAACACAATAGGTACACATAACCTGTGATGTAACTTTTCCTTCATACTTTCGTCCTGGCTTAGGACAGGCAAAAATTGAGGAATTAAGGAAAAATTGAGATTTTACTAAAAATGTTGTTATTTTTCATTGAATTTACATTCTATAAGTGAAACCAAACCACTGGTTTCAAGGATAACGGTGTTTACACTAACAACCTGTATAATTTACTAGCTTGCTAGACCGACGTTGTTCTGCCCTTTTCGACGACCCTTTGTCATGTCCTATAAAAATTCTTAAATTCGCAAAAAATTGTGGGTCGCTCATGGGCAAAAAAACTATCCTATCTCTCAAGTTGGACCAAGGTGCATACGGTGTGTAAATTTGATTAAAATCGGTTAAATAGTTTAGGAGTCCATCGCGGACAAACAACGTGACACGTAATTTATATATATTAAGATAGGCAAGCGCCATTTTTGTAAATGATAAACTTATTCTATCTATTAGTTCAGTACTTCATAAGTATAGTACGTGGTAGAGCCATGCCGGCTCGACCGAGGAAGGACCACGCTCTCACAGAATACCAGCGTAAAATAGTAGCTTAATGCTGCTGTGTTTCGTATGGTAAGTGTAGAGAACCGGAGACCCATTTTACTGGAAGGAAGTCATTCCATCTTAGTCCTCAGTGGTGACAACGCATCTGCATTTTGATATGTAATCGAAGATAGATGTAGACGTCTATGGGCCACAGCAACCACTTACCATCAAGTGCACTGTGTGCTCGTTTGACACAATATCTTACTAAAAAGAAACCTGAATTTACTATATATTTATTTAGGACAATTTATTATTTGTATATATGTATGTCTTATGTATGTATTCATATGTATGTATACGTATTTGTATGTATGTATACAAACCAATCAATAATAAACACGAACACAAAGATTTTTTTTAATTATTGTTTGAGCGCTTTACAGAGATGTTTTTACTATTTCATAATCAGGTATGATTTTTATAAGTTTTATAAGTTTATTACTATTTATATTAATTGTACTATTTTAATTTTATAATTAAAATTATTATTAAAACATCTATTATTACATCTTTCAATCCTAAACGAAGAAATAAATTTGGATACCACGAGTGATAACAATCGTAAATTATACTGATAATACGTTTCAGGAATACGCAGAATATATGACGTATAATACAAAATTACATATAAATACATTTATAATTGAACAGAATTCCATGCAACCAGCACATACGGTGGCCTGGCGGTATAATTTAGGAAGGTCATAATTATAGAATTCTTGCTGGAATTTATACCATTCCCATCTTTGTAGTCTCGTTATTGATCTTCTAAGAATTAAAGTAAAAATCCCACCATCTCCTGTTTCTGAGCAGTGATTTATCAACAGCATCTGTGGATTAGCCTTTAGTACTCGAATGACCTCAGGATGTCGAGGTAAATCCTCTGGATACCAAACATCTAAAATGAGTTTTTTTTAAAATGAATAAAATTTTACTGTCTGCGAAATAATTAATAACAATGATAGTATCGGCAAATTAAGGACAGTTATAAGTGTGACAAAGGAAATAACGGACCGCAAAACCTCTAAATATCTACTAAATACCCGATATTAATCAGTGAAGGAATTGTACTTTTTCTATCCTCAATTAAATGAAACATATAGGGACATTGTCCACGTCCGCGGTAGAGCCATGTTGCAGTTATATTAGTAATATAGTTGTAACAAATGCGTCGGCTTGACCGGGGTAGGACCACGCTCTCACAGAATACCAGCGTAAAATAGTAGCTTAATGCTGCTGTGTTTCATACGGTGGGTGTAGATGAGTAAATGATAGAGGTGATTGGGGAACTCGAAATTCTCACAGCACTCATGTAACATTTCAGGGAGGAAGGAGTACCTGAAAACCAGCGCTTCATGGGATCTTAGTTCCATGTAAGCAAAAGCTAAGTCCCTCCGTTTGCCTAAATTTAATTAAGGTTAAGTAATTAGTTTATACGTAAACATGTTTTTTAAAAGTGGCAATAAAGTGACATTTATTTATTTATTTAGAGAACCGGAGACCCTTTTCAGTCCTCACGGGTAACAACACATCTGCATTTTGGACCACAGCAACCACTTACCATCAGGTGGACTGTGTGGTAGTTTGTCACCCTATCCTATAAAAAAAAAACACAAAGTAATACAAAATATTTTGTTGTTAATAATTGGTTATTGTTTTTGTTTTTTGAACTCTGAACTCTTGACCTAGTGGTCGGGAAACCAGATAACACAACCGCAAATCTTGAGTTTGAATCCATACTGAAGACAACATTTGTCTAAAAATACATAATACATCTGTCTATGAAATTCGGTTTATGTCCCATTTTATCACAATAAAATAATAATTTACCTATGCCTCTAGAACGCATCTCTCTTTCCCAAGGCCGCAATTTTTCCGCAATCCATAGACCGGGATCTTCTGCAGAGTAAATATATGTCTGCTCCATGGACTGTCCGTCTTCATCCCACATTACCCTTATACGCCTTTCCTCATTGATATTCCTTTTAATCTCCCGTCTCAACCTTATATCCAGCCACGACCCTGAAATAGCATCGTCTGACCGAGGATTGCTTTTATAAGATCTCCATTTCTGATCCGTATAGTTTTTTCGTGGAATCTAAAAAAATTACATTTGAGAAATTACTTAAGCCTTGTTACGATAATTTACTGAAACTATACTTACAGCCCAGTTAAGCCAATCATCTCGGACCTGGTACTCATAAGTAACATCAGAGATATAAAGAGATACGCAACCAATTTCATTGGGCTTGTTGGTCATATCAGGCGTGTGCTGCGCATAGCCTACACCATACCACAGTCCAAAAACATCGTCGACATTAAAATGGTGCGACCAACGTATACTCTCACCACATAAACCTTGAACTGAGGGAATTATTATTAACTTTGTAAATAAAGAGGATAGTAGCACAGTATACATGGTGACACTCGGAACTGCGCGTGTAATATGGGTCTCAGTGTGTTGATTCATCTCATTCAATTAGCAAATTATTGCAGGTTGTGTTCAATGCATGGCGCCATAGTTATTCATGATTCATCAAAGTTGGTTTTATAAACTGTATACCTTATCATATACCTAGTTACTTGATTACAAAAAAAAAGAAAAACAAAAGATTTCATTTTATTTATATTCAAATTGTGGTGATGATTACGCATTTTTGAACAAGGCGACAAACTTCCAAATAATTGAAAGCAAACGATGCAAGCGCAGGATAATATAAAGAGAAAGCAATCAAAGAGCATAATATAAGCTAAAAAGCGATATAAAGTAGCGTTAATATATAACTAGGGTACACACCCACACACACTTATTTAGTAGTGAACTAGATTCGTTAGCCTAAAAATTAATCTAATGTTTATTCCATTGTAATGGGTTTAGAATATCATCGTGTACGTGTTCTTGAACTTATTTCAACTGCTATTTACTATAAAATCTTCAATTGTCTTTGTTTCGGCTATTTAATTTAAATGGCACTTACATATTTAAGCACAAACTCATAACATTACCTACATTATTTTTATTTGTGTTCATATTAGTAGATAATGCTCTCATATTTTAAACTACTCCTTCTTAAAACTGTCTTTCGATTTTCGGATCGGAAATATTATCGGAAATATATTAAAACTACTGCAGTGCGATTGTATAACTCTGGGAATCATTTTACGGTTAGAACAACTCTGTAACTGTGATACAGCTACGGAGTTATTCTGATTTTTATAATTTAAGAAATAAGATATTAAGTATAAACAAACGTCTAATAATAGATACAGACATATTTATACAAAACAACAAAGGCAAACATCAAACGTAAAAACGCAGTTAACCACGATTCCAATCAGAGTTACCCAATCACACTGCTGATTACAAATCTGTTAACCGACTTCAATACAAATAAAATGGAAACATCATCAATGTAGTCGAAGTCAATTAAACACGCATAACTCAAAAATGCACAAGTTACTGGTCAGATCTTGATTAAATTTATGTGGGTTTTTAAATTAAAAAAATTGAAAAAAAGTTCTGAGTTACCTCAGAACACATAATATACAGTCGAATTGAGAACATTCTTCTTTTTTTGAAGTCGATTGAAAAGCCTATTACCGGCCACATAACTGGACAACAAGGTTTTTGAGAGACCCCACCACCACTTTATGAAGTGATGAACTGGTAATACAGGAAGTCAATCGATGCAGGAAAACCTACATAGGTCCTAGGGCTGAGTACAGGCATCTTCTAATTTCTAAAAGGCTGAAGAGCGTGGAATTGCCAGTGCATTGGCGGACCTCACATATATCATAGAATAATATTTTTTTTGACATGAAGTAAAACGGATTTCACTATCAGCAGTTAAAATTATTTCGTTTAACAATTTCAGTATTGCCGAGGAAGACCAAGCTCGGTTTTGCTCCCTTTGAAAATTTCAAGTGGCCAGCCTCTACGCTATCACAGCCTAGACACGAGGCTCTCGTTGTTTTACGTGGCAGAGCCATACTGTAGCTATCTTACGGCTAATTTGCAAGTATATTATATTGGTAGCACGAATGGGTTGGCTCGACCGGGAAAGGACCACGCTTTCACAGAATACCAGCGTAAAATAGCAGCTCAATGCTGTGTTTCGTATGGTGAGTATAGAGAACCGGAGACCCTTTTTACTGGAAACGAGGCATTCCATCTTAGTCCTCAGGGGTGACAACGCATCTGCATTTTGGTTCTTAATAGAGAATAGATGTATATGTCTATAGGCCACAGCATCCACTTACCATCAGGTGTACTGTGTCACAGTGCCAGATGTGTCGCAACATTGACGATGCTCGCTATCACCGGTCTTAGTATTTTATATCTATCGTAAACGAGATCACTATACCGCCATCTATGCGAAGCTATAAAATATTTCTACTTAGAAGAATTGTTCAGAATAATTTCAGTCGCCAAGTTACACCAACGAACATTCAAATTCAAATTCATTTATTCGTCATTATAGGTCTTAACAATTTAACAAAAATACAGCCATATTCTACCTTCCGGATTCCGGTGTGCAAACTAATTATTAAATACAAGATATAATTTTTTTATTATTATTATTAAAATGAAAATATCTGATAATTACATTAACATAAAATAATCTTATTTGTGTTACTAACATCATAATAATTCACCACATAATAACATAATAAATATAATAATTCGAAATATAATGTCTTAAAATTAAATTATATAGTAGTTAAATAAAGTTTTATTCAATAAATTACTATATTTCAAATTTAAAACTTTTCAAACAAATTATCATCAATACTATGATAAGCTTTTTTGATTAAAAATATGTTAAATTGATTCTTAAAAATGTGAAGGCTCTTAGATTCTTTTATATATTTTGTTAAATGTTTATACAGTCGAGGCCCCATACAGAATACGCTTTTCTTAAACAAAACGGTCTTACTAGTGGGATGGCTTAATTTATCTTTATCACGCTGGACATTTAAATTTTTATAAAAACTTAAGTTTTGACGTACAAATAAGACTACCTCATATATATACAGACATGGCATTGTTAATAATTTTAAGCTAGTATACTATGGCTTACAACTCTCACTCTTGTTAATTTTACCTAGGCTGGTAAGCATTTCTTCTGAGCTTTAACTACTGTTTCTCTGTGGGCACAATTCCCCAAGAACATAATACCATATCTAAGCGTCCACATAATGAACTCACAATACCATTCACACCTCACGGAATACCAGCGTAAAATAGCAACTTTATACTGCTGTGTTTCGTACGGTGAGTGTAGAGATCCGAGGGACTTTTTTTACTGGAAACGAGGCATTCCAACTTAGTCCTCAGAGGTGACAACGCATCTGCATTTTGGGTCTTAATAGAGAATAGATGTAGATGTCTATGAGCCACAGCATCCACTTACAATCAGGTGGACTGTGTGCTCGCTGGTCACGGATTGTCATTTGCGATCGCAGTGTCAGTTGTGTCGCATCTTTGACAATACTCCCTATCACCAGTCTTAGTATTAAAATAAAAAATGAAAACACCGGATGCTTGGTGTTCCACCACTCTACGATTTACTAGAAGTTTTCTTCCTCACATGTCTTTGTGTAATCGTTTATCACCAGCGATTTTTCCGGACCAATACGACTTAAAGACCTTCCTTAATTTGTTTTAAAAGACCAGCAACGTACTTGTTATTTCCTTGGTGCTGCCGTTGTTCATGGATTGCGGCCGACACTTACTATTAAGGTAGCCTCATGCTCGTTTGACCACTCATCTAAAAAAAGGTACACTCCCATAGCCGTATCAACACTCACTGGACGTACGTATATTATATTAAATTAAATATGTATACGAAACATCAATCTATCGGTGGATTGTGTACCGACAGATAAGGGGTTAGAGGATTATTAACAGACGCGGCCATATGTCAGAAAATATTCCATAACTTTTTGTGCTGGCTTTTTGAATTGTGGGTATTTTGTTTTTAATCATGTTTGAGGTTATTCGCTATATATTGTTGGTTTCAAAATGTTGATACTCATTAATTGATTTACTGCAGTTTCAGGACGACACATTTTGTTTTATAGAATATGGGTGGCTAACAAGTGCACAGGTAAATAGATGCTGTGGCCCAAAGACATCTACATTTATCCTCAATTAACAATCAAAATGTAAATGAATTTTTACCCCTGAGGACTAAGATAGAATGCCTCGTTCCAGTAAAACGTATCTCCGGTTTTCTACATTCACCAAATGAAACACAGCAACGTTAAGCAGCTATTTTACGCTTGTATTCTGTGAGAGCGAGGTCCTTCCCCGGTCCACACTCTTCCTCGCAAAAAATTAAGCCTTGAAGCGTAGCCTAGTAATTGTAATATATTAAATATTAATTTCATTACATTTCAACCATTTATATAATTAAAACTTTTACTTTTTTCAACCTATTTTTGCTACAATCATAATATAATAGTTGTAGCGTGGTTCTACCACGTAAACGTGGCTCTACCAACACATGTTGTGATGAATTATTATACGTTGCACACCAAACAATAACAACACAGCAATACAATAGTAACCACAGCGTAACTCCATATTTAAATAATAAAATATTAATAAAAAAAATTAAGCAAACCCAACCTAACCTTGATTTGGGTACAACAAAAACCCTTTCTACTTGCTGCAGCTTGCAATTTTTTCTATAGATTCCACTAAAGTGCTAAGAATAAATACAAGTGTACAATGGTATTTATTAGACTCATTTCAACGTCATTAATCGATTAAAAAATATTACTTAAAAAAAGTATATTTTGTTAAATAGCACCTTTATATTTTCCTATGGAAGCTATTATTTTAATGATTTCTTATATTTACGCGAACACTACACAGTAAATAAAATTATTTATACGGATTTTATCGCATTTAACAAACTTATTTTTAATGACCGACGTTCCGGGTGCTTTACTGTACTATTCAAAGCTATTACTTTATTTTTGAAGACGTGCCTACGACCATTTGCTACGAGTAGGCCTTCTCGCATCTCTGCGGAGGTAATGGCGCAGTAAAAGTGGAAAAGTGGACTGCTCAAGTGCGAACTGGCGGGCTTCAGATATTTTAAATACTATTAATTCCTCATAAATGAACTACGTCGCCTACATAAAGTATTAAATGAAATATTTATTAATAATATAAAGAAAATATATGCGTTCATTATTAAGTTGTTGTTTTTTTTTATTAGAAAGAATGAATGAAAGAGAAGTTTTTATTTGTAGTGATAATTTTATTTGAAGCAAAATTTACATACGAAATTGCATCATAAGACCCGCCTCAGTGCAATAGCAGCTAGTGGAACAGCTCTAATATTCTCTATTTGTTCAATATAGCGTACATATATATCTACTTACTGTGTATATATATATATATATATATATATATGTATATGTATATATATATGTATATGTATACGGTAATAAATAAAATACATTTAAAAATAATTTTTAAATAATAATATTTTAAGATAACATTATTATAATCTACCTCTTAACTAGATACCACAATTACGGAATTTTAAGTTCTCACTTAAATGTGCCTTACTTTAATTAATCGATAAATATTATCTTTGAATAAAAATTAAAAGCCGATTTTAAAGAACTAAATAGTATAAAATAATTTTTTATTTTAAGAAAATGTCGTCTTATCCGTGTTTTCAAGCAATGAAAAACTGCTATAGTATCATTAGAATACGATGATAAGTTTTGTCAGAACCAATCAGGTTTTAATAGCTCAAGTGGAAAATCGGGCGGTACTAAAACCAGAAAACACCGGGTAGAGTCCAAGATGGTTCTGATCCACCTTTTTTCCTTTTTTTTTCAAGTTCCTTCTTTTGTGAGAAAATTTATTATTTGGAGCCGTTTTTTAGTATATTAAAAAAAACTCGAAACAAAATGACCGAGCTTTAAAAAAAGGAATACGGTAGTTAATTACATTAGTAAAGAAATTATTTTTTTATTTAAATAACCAGGTAAGTTTTTTTTTAAATTATGTCGATAAGATCGAAAATATTATTCATATCTCATCAGTATGTTCTTATCTAAATATAATTTCCAAAAAACACGATTTCCAAAAAAAAAATACCGAGCAAAACTCGGTCATTCAGGTACATATATATATAGGATCACAACTGAACTAGAACCTACTTAATACGAAAATAATTAATCAGATATGTTTACAATTGTCGAAGAAATCGCGTAAAAAAAACAGTCGATTGTAAACCTCCCCTTGTTTAAAGTCGGCTAAAATGAGGACGCCGCGCCAGGCGTATAAAACTTCCATATATTTTAAAAATACTTTTAAAAATATCTGATAATAATAAATGATAAAAATAATCTAAAAAAAATAAATATACAACAAAAACAAAAATGATAAATCAAAATAAGGTACTTGCAATTCATTTTTATTTCACCATAGTATATAAAAACAATATATTTTATTAATTATGTTTTTTACAACAGTAGTCGAATGGCGGATTCGAAGTTACTTTTTAATAACTTACCACTAGGCTACGGTCCTTTTTATCAATTTACCACTAGGCTACTGTCCTTTTTATTATAGTTACTATGTAGAATAAGCTCATACAATGTCACTATTACTTTTCATTTTAAGGCAGCAAAATATTAAAATTATAAGAGGTTTTGCAGCAAGTTAACGATTGGATAATGTAATATAATATAAAAAAAATTATTGACATTAATACAATGGCAAAACTTAGAAATATGTTGCTAGTAATTTCTATGTTACAAACAGCACCGACATCTTCAAATAAAAAACCACACAATTAGAAATAAAGCCCCTGATATTTTAAGATTAACAGCTGAATTCTCACAAACACGCTTCAGAGCGGAAGTGGATAAGCGTTTCATGGTGAATATGTTATGAATATTCGCTAGTTCCTCAGGAGATAGCTGATTTTCATTCCTAGCAAGAACGACGCTGTACAGCTGCGAATGGGGTAATCTCATACAAAAATTCAGCACCAAATGATTCTTGGCTACCTTCAACACCTGGATTACACCCCCGAAGAAACGATACATTTTTTCGACAGCTGCAAAAATAAATTATTTGTTATTATTATTATTATTTTACCTATTAAAAGCCAGTATTTGACTACTATCACACCTGATGATGTACTACGATTCTGTTTAAATTTTATGCGTGGCAGATCCACGCTGCAGATATATTATTGTGGCAGCACGAATGGGTCGGTTCGACTGAGGAGAGATCACGCTATCACAGAATACCAGCGTAAGATAGCAACTTAACGCTGCTTTGTAGCGTATGGTGAATTTAGAGATCAATAGAACCTATTTACAGGAAACGAAGTATTCCATCTTAGTTGTCGGGGGTGGGAATGCATCAACGATTTCATCCTTAATGGAGGATAGATAGCATTCCTTCTTAGTTCTCAGAGGTGGTAACGCATTCAGCATTTGATTCTTATTTGGAGTTTAAATTGAAAAAGAAACTTTCTCCAATTTAATTTAATTTAATTTCTGACTTCACATAGACGTACGTCGTTCGAAGTTGCTTCTGTATAAGCGCTTAATTTTTTCTGGTAGTAAAAATGTAAAATGTTTTTTTTTAAGTACTACATGAATCTAACGACTTACATCCGTTAGGCACGTCCGTCGGCCAGAATCCTTTATGCGATGTATTCACCTTGATGTGGTACTCTTCCCTCCAAAGTCCTTCGTTCCATTCGAGGATAAAATGCCGTATCCGATACTGCTCAGGAAGACCATAAGCACGATTAACATATGGAGAATTCGTAGTTGGTAGGTAAGACGTCGGCGGAGTCGGCTGGGAACATATGAATTCAAAAAATAAAGTAAAATTTGAATTAATGTAAAATCTATCTGGTGTCTGATGACATTAATGCTGTTTGCCTTTTGGCTTTAAAAGCCAAAATGTAAAATAATGGCATCTTTTCTTTTGCAACTCGTTCCAGACTCTACGCAAATTATTAATCTCATTAGTACGAAATAAGTTAATTGTAATTGTACCTAATTCGATAAATGTACACAAATTGGGCAATAAAGAAAAATCAGTCCATTAAGTGACAAATTTCATTTGAAATACTAATTATAAGTATGTATATTTAAACTTATACGTACTAAATTACGATTAATCAAACCACCCTCTACGTAATCCTCAAATTTTCTAAAATGTACGATGGGGCAGTAAGGGTTTACTTCGGTAATAGTTCTATTTTCTTTATGAAATATATATTCCCGTATGTACCACATTCCCAAAACCGCTTCTTCATCAAAATCGTGCGTTGGCTTTAAGTCGGGACAGAAAATAACATTTGTTGCGTGTATTATTGAAAATAACAAAGCAATCGAAGAAACACTCAATGCCATTATATACGTAAAAGGAGGGCGTTTATGTAATTTATTCACTTAATTATGGTACGAAGTCAAAGCACACTGTCGCAAAATTAATTAACAAGACTAAGCCACCGCCTCGCTTATATCATGGCTGTTTCTACCTTTGACCCGTTAATTACATCGCCACGACCCTACATCCTCTTACGAATTACCCGTTACGTCTGATACGTACTTTCAGCATGAAAAATGCATATTAAAATAGAAAAGATATTTCGAGGCAATGGTAAAAATGTAGAAAACACATTTTCTTAAAAATATTACAAATTTTTTAAAATTATATTTTATGAAATTACTAAAAAATACATAAAATGCAATATGACTTGTTCGAACATATACAACATTATAAAATAACGTTTATTTTATACGAATAAATGAATTAGCAATTTTATTAATAAAATAAAAATTTTGAACCACAAAATTAAACCATGAATAGCTTATTTGACAATATTTATGGATCAATTTAACAATTAACCTTTTAATATTTAAACTATTCAGTACTTTAATATAAAGAAGAATGAAAAAATAGCAATTCAAATATTTTTTCAAAGCTGAAACAAACAGTAAATTACGACTAACCTCGGTGTTTACTTCTCTTATATCAATATGGAAACACTCCCTTGTATGTTCAATTTTATACTCTCCTTTCGTGTGAGGTATCTTTTCAACACCGTACCAAACGCCGGATATCTGATCTAAATCAATTTCACCGACATAAGGAGATAAGTCATCACAGTATTTATGATTCTCAAAATAATAACTACTTTGACCGTAGCACTCAATGTAACTTAAACTAATTAAAATTAATATAAATCTGCGTTCCATTGGATTATCTAATATAAGCCGGATATCGGGATAAAAGTTTCGGATAAATTGAACCGGGACTACTAGGCGACTATACACGACAGGAGATAGCGGACAGTTTAATCCAACGAACAACATGCATGTGATCTGCTTTTGACACGTGGGCGGAATTTTAAATGAGCTAGTCTCAATTGACAGTATCAACAGTGCCTGCTAGTAATTTTCTCGTTATATGACAATATACTTCCTTTATAAGGACTCCTCTTTGGAAGTCCCCTCGTGTGTGCCAGTCAGTAAATAAGAATAATTAAAATCACAGTACCTGGACGACAGTACTTTGCTCGGCGCTAAAAAAAACCTCAGGGGTGACACCTATGTAGATCTATATATATTATATATGTAGTAGATATATATGTAGATGGGGGAACATAATATTATATACCATAGACACGCCAGCCGTATTTAGATTTGCGATAATCAAAACCATTTATTTTATTTTAATTTTATGCTTTTGGTTATAGTTTTAAACAAAAATATTTATATGGACTTTATCACGTTTAATTTCCCTTTTTTCATTTCCGACGTTTCGGAACCCGTGAACGGGTGCTGCAAAGCAAAGAAAGTAAGTATATTAATAAGAATAATAATAAGTAAATAAAACGCGATAAAATCCGTAAAAGTAGTTAATTCAATGTGTAGTGTTTGCGTAAATATAAGAAATCATTAATTTTAGTTTTTTTTTTTTTAAATCTAGTTTTACGAATAAAATACAGCGTAGAATACTCCTAGCATTGCTCTCTGTCTGTTCCTGAAGTCTTATTAGAACCGGGTCAGCCACTCCGAAGATTAGCCCCAATAGACATACAAACAGACAGACAGACTCACAAATTTTAAAATTATTGATAGAATCAGGCGTTACTTTGCGGAAATACATTATAATAAAGATATTAATAGTTACTTTGCAACCATCCGCTCAATTAAATACAATGATGTGTCTTACCTAGATTGAAGAGCACCTCCCGCCCTCCCTCAATTGCGTGCACTAAACCAGTCACCACTAATCCCAGCACCACCACTCCCGACACCACTATTCTAGGAAAGACACACAATCGACGATAATACGGCACGTGTTTCGCCTCTACACGAGGCATCTTCAGGTGATGTAGACTCTACGGCAGCTGACCTCTAAGTCAGCGGTGACGGTGGTGGTGGTGGTGGTGGAGGTGACGGAATTAGTGCAAGCAATTGAGGGAGGGCGGGAGGTGCTATTTAATCTAGGTAAGACACATCATTGTATTTAATTGGGCGGATGGTTGCAAAGTAACTATTAATATCTTTAATTTTAAAATTGGTCATTCATGTCGTAATGGCATGCAAATTACTTCTTTAGCTCAACATAAGGCAAGTATTCCGATGTTACAGATAGACAATGCCATTTCCATACATAGTATAAGTGCATAAGTACTTCATAATAATTATAATGATTTGGAGAATACTATTTAGATACCACACAAGGGTTTAATACTTGAAAATTTCCAGATGGTTTTCCTAAAGCTTTTCTCGGCATACTTAGTTGCCAGGACTACAGAATCATCAGCAAGTAGTGCCAAAACCAATCGATACAATACAGTGACGTAAATGCCGCGCCGGGCTGCTTATTGATCGCGACGCTAAACGATAAGGATGGTACTCGTCGTAGTACCCATCCAATACACCAAATGTAACCGGGCAATAATAATTCGCGATCATATTATTAAAATATTGACAATAGAATATATATATCTTTTAAAGATTATAAATGAATACAACCTAATATTTTAATAATTTTACCGAATTCGTAACGTTACATTGGATCACATTAAATCTGCGCTGCCACTGACATATTGACGTCACACAATGAATGACGTAAAGCGCCCTGATTGAGCTCGAGGTTGACTATACTAAGGCTACAGGAAAGTTAGGAAACGCTCAAAGGTTCGTAGTTACAGTAAGTGCTACGAGGTTTCTCTGAAGGATGAGAGGTGAGATATTTTTTTATTCGCATTTAAAAGGTAGTATAATACGAGTAAGTGGTAAGGCTAGATAACACGTTTTTACCTATTTCAGCCCCAAAATAGTAGGGCTTGCACTAAAATCTTCCGGTGGGAAGGATATAGGAGATCCAGTATAATTACAGGCTACGATACATTCCATCTCAGTCCTCAGAGATGACAACGTATTTGTTGCCCACTTTTTTTACAATTGGCTCCAGGTGTCCATGGAATGCAGTTCTCACTAACCATCAGATGGACTGAAATTTCGCTGGATACTTCGATTCAGGAACGTAGAAACAAACATACGGTAAAATAATCGCTTAGATTTTCGTTTAAAAATAATGTAATCTTATTAATAAATCTTTGCGTGAAACTAATAATTTTTAAATTTATAATTTTACATTCAATTTTTGGAAACAAACAATCGCGTAGTATGGCGCGTTAGCGATCGCCATTCACTGTAACGGCGTTTTCTTGCTCATTTTCGAAGAAAACTGATGCAATAAGGCCGTCATACCAGAGTCCGGACCAGAAAGTCATTCGTGGATGCATTGGTTTCTCCACGATAACGTGTTTATTTTCTGAACCCCAGATACAAAAACATTGCTTATTGAAGTATCATCCGAGGTGGAAATGAGCTTCATCTGAAAAGATGATTTTTCAAAAAGGATGTACAAAAAACTGCGTTATTCGTTTCTTATTTTCTTTTTTGTTTTTCGCTTTTCGTAAATTTCTTACAGTTCGAGTAGGGTACTCACCACTTTGAAAATAAGTTTTTAATACTTCCCAACTTTGATCAAGCACAAAGCGACCCTTTTCATAAATGTCAAACATAGAACTAATTTTCTGTCACATCGGAAATGTCATCAAATCTTCCAAACTCAAAATAATGTATAGTTCAAATTCTTAGAGCTACCCTTTGCCACTTCGGCTTACTCATCCGTTGGCCTATGTCTCACTCTGATTCTACTGCGAATATTTTCTTTTAGATATTATGTTTGCTGTTCAATGCGCTACATGTTTTACAGTCGTCATCTACGCCGTGTAGTGGTGGAGTAAAAAAATCGACCAACCTGAATCTTTTCGTGGATGTCGGAAGACGTGACAAGAGAAAATTAAGCAGAACTTAGGCGGCAGCGTCTTCCTGATACCAAATTAAATGACAAAATACTGCGAATTCCAACACGCCTGTCGTGTTTGGCAACTATGGCCAATATACACATGAGGCAATCTATGGCGGCGTCATCACTTTCAATAGACATTTGATAAATGAATGAATGAACTGTGTCAAAATTATGCGACTCTATATACAACTAAAAAAACACGAAATAGATGTGCTGGACTTATTTTAATTTTAAAAAGACTTGTACAATGTGTCCATGAGAGTAACTACATTGATTTCAATGCACTCGTATGTATGTGGCACTTACGAGTATTTAAAGTGCTCCTACACGTCTTAAAATACTCATCATTATCATCATTACAGCCCTTCACAAGTCCACTGCTGAACATAGGCCTTAAAATACTCGTATGTAGCATTTTAAGTAAGATATTGACTAAGTTCTGATTTATAAAAGACTGTTAAAATAACAGTTGCCAATTAGGCACTAAATCTTTACACATATTTTACAGCAAAAGATATAAGCATTTCGGAGTTATTCTGTTATAATCTGCAAGCTCGAATCCTCCCTAAAACATATGAATATCTCCAGTTCGGTTGGAGCAATATGTTTCAATCTCGGTATATGACAGTCACCAATTACTCACTAAATCTTAAAATAGGAATCACATTTCAGACGCAGACAATAATGGTATTTTCGATAAAGGGTTGCTAGCTTCAGTTCAAACTAAAATCCTCCAAAAAGAGGGTAAAGTATTAAGTCACTAGTGTTTTGTCTTAAGTCACTAATTATCAATTCCTTACTAATCTTGATATAATAAAATTTAGGATATTATTGGGGAGGATTCCAGCTTGAAGGGCACCTTATTTAATATCACGGGTTCAAATTGCTTTAGAATTAAAAGGCATTTTTAGAAAAAAGAATAGCTTCTTAATCAAAAGCCTAAAGCAAAGTTTTAATCTGTCAAATTTGACAATAGCAGTGAAAGAAATCAGTACTCACCTGCCTCACTTTCTTCTGTAAGTACGTGTGAGTTATGTATGTAGAGTTATTTGGATAAAAAATGATTAATTAAAATTAAATGACAAATAATAATTCAGAAAAATTCTTTGCTACGGAGCAAACATGCCATGAGTTCTGTCCAAGTGAAAATATTCCACTAGATGCTCGTAGTAAGAGTGGGATACTATAAACGTAGCAGAGCCATGTTGCAGCTACGAGTATATTATATTCATAGCAAGAACGGGTCAGCTCAAACGGGGAGGGACCACGCTCTCACAGCATAATAGCGTAAAATAGCTTATTAATGCTGCTGCTTCGAATGGTGAGTGTAGAGAACTGTAAACCCTTCAGGTAACGAGGCATTTTTCTTAGTCCTTAGTTAGGGGTGACAATTTGACTTTGTCGACAATAGATGTAGGTGTCTATGGGTCACAGCATACATTTGTTATTGGGTGGACTGTGCGCTCGTTTGTCATATATATTATATATGTATATATATATATATATATATATATATATATATATATATATATATATATATATCTAGCTTGCCAGGCAAACGTTGTTCTGCCCTTTTCGACAACCCTTTGTCATGTCCTATTAAAAATTCTTAAATTCGCAAAAAAAATTGTGGATCACTCATGTGAAAAAAAACTATCCTATCTCTCAAGTTGGACCAACCTGCACACGGTGTGCAAATTTGATGAAAATCGGCTGAGTGGTTTAGGATCCCATCGCGGACAAACAATGTGACACGTAATTTATATATTAAGATATATATATATATATATATATATATATATATATATATATATATATATATATATATATATATATATATTTCGTCGATGCGCAATGTACAACATAAAGCCTGTTTTCTAGCCGTTTCGACTAAAGAATCTAGTCAGTATCGGTAGTTACAAACTTTATATTACACAACTTTATATACATCGACTTTTCTTTGAAAAATTTCAGCGCATCA